ACCACGGATAAGCGGGAGAAGATGGATGGATGGATGGATGTATGGATGAACGCAAACCGAAACTTCTGAAAAATGTAACAATGAAACAAACTGTGGTCTAGTGCGCACCAGAGAAGCGGACTATTTGGTTTGAATTAGACCTTAGAGCATTTTGCAACAAAATAAATAATTGAAATTAACCTTGTTTTGACTTTGCCTCTTTTATTAATATTTGTGGTTTATGCTACAACGTGCACCAATATGTGTAAAAAAGGTTTGCAGACATCAAGTATGATATATGAATACACATTTTATTATTGATTGGTGATGGTGATTTCCTTATGGCTGCTTGTCCTCCAGGAATTTTTCAAGGCTGCAAACAGAAGGAGAAAGTTTTATGTTAGTTTAGTGGTTCTGTCCTGGAGAGATGATCATTAGGCCTGTCACAAACATTAATTTTGTTGGACGATACATTTTCCTGGAAATTATTGCGATAAACGATAATATTGTCGGCACTGTTGTAAGACCATTTTAGACCACTGACATAATGATAATTCAAGTACATCCTTTCAAACATAACTTTTTATTGAACATTCAACATTGCAAATGAAATAATATATAAAACAAATTAATTAAATTGTAATACATTAATTAAATAGAATCAGGCTGGAAAACAGAGCTCTCTGTATCTATAAATAAATATGAGCACACATTGTCTCACAAGCAAAAAAACCTCCTTAAAACAACAGTCAAGTGTACAGTCCACTGTCCAGACAGACCCAGATGCCTCAACAGGCCATATCCAAATCTATTTTTCAAAGTTTTCGAGCAAGGAACACCAACATGTTTGCATTGTCGGGCAAATGCATCTTTGATTGTAAACTGTCGGGAAGGTGGGGGCTCTCCATCTCCAGCTGCCGTGTTTGCTACCAGCTGGGAAAACGGAATGGGGTGGTTGTGTTTTAGGTGTAGTTCAAAATGCGTGGTATTGCCTGCTTTTGTTGCTACCTTTTTTAAACAAATGCCGCTGCGACCCACCACCCGGCTCATTCAAGTCCGTATTCGCCTCGTTGATTTGGCTTGAATCCAAAATACTGCCACACCGGAGAATCGAGATGTGTAGTTAGGTTTTGTAACCAATTCCATTTCACTTTAAATTCCCCGCGAGTAAGTCACACGTTGTCTCCCGCTTGGCTGTGTGTCAGCCCCGCCCCCCACAGCGCGCCTGGCAGCCACAGCGCTCCTAGCGAACATGCTGGTCACATCCTTATGTAAACGGCAATTTATCGAGCTCAGAAAAGTTATCAAGTCCATTTTTATTTACCGTGCGATAAGTCAATTTATCGATTATCGCGACAGGCCTAACCACCGCTAAGCTCTAAAAACGCTGGTTGCTGGTACTACAACACTTTTATAGTGCTTATTTGAATCATTAGGTTTTAAAAGTTGTCAAATGTTTTTAGAGCTGAATCCAAATGTATCTTCTCTCCATTAATTCTACTGGGTGGGAGACCGGGGGCGGGGCTTACGGGGAAACTCAACTGCGCATGCTCTCGACAGCAAGATATGATGGGTAATTTGTGACGATTTGCTCTTGAGAACGTCGGGCCATTTTGGCTTATTGCACCAATGAGCAACTCTATTAGGATCGGACGAGCTGTGTCCAGTTCTTATTATACATCCATTGTTATATTACACTGACCTTCTCTAAATGTTATTTCTGGCACCTAACTGAGTCTCTCTGTCTTCTTTAGAAACCGAGAACAAGAGAGGGTCCCCAAAGTCACAGCTGTCAGCACTGTGACAAGTCCTTTGCAACGTCTGGATATCTATTGATTCACCAGAGAGTTCACAGCGGAGAGAAACCCTACAGCTGTGACAAATGTGGGAAAGCTTTCAAACAGAAGTGTCACCTCAACAGACATAAAATATCCCACACTGGAGAGAAACCACACATCTGTGGCCAATGTGGGAAAGCTTTTTCATTAGCAGATGATTTAAAAGTCCATTATGGCATTCATACTGGAGAGAAACCATATAGCTGCGACCAATGTGGGACGACTTTCTCCAAAAAATCTCATTTGAAAACTCACAATTACATTCACACTGGAGAGAAACCATTTAGCTGTGACCAATGTGAGAAATCTTTCGCCACCCTCAGTGACCTGAAGAAACACAGACGTATTCATTCTGGAGAGAAACCACACAGCTGCAAACAATGTGGAAAAGCTTTCCCGAGGCTATGTGCACTAAAACGTCACCAGCGTACTCACACTGGAGAGAAACCGTACTGGTGTGACCTTTGTGGGAAGACCTTTGCTCGGGCCTACATCCTACAGGTCCACCGACGCCTTCACACCGGAGAGAAACCCTACTGGTGTGAGCAGTGTGAGAAAACCTTTATTACGAGTGGTGCGCTGAGTGCCCACCAACGCATTCACAAAAAGTCCATCTAAATAGCTTGTTGTTATGTTAATGTGCTGCTAATAAAGGTATTATTATTATTACACTGTTTTCCATCAATATATTATAGATACATATATACAGAACATGTCTCTGGAGTGTTTGTCTGAAATACCAAACGGATCATTGCAGCATCCCATAATCCCCTCTGTTTCAAAAGTGCTGATTCTCTGTCCGTTACTATAGATGAAAAATAAGGAGCCCCTCCCCAAGCCCCTCTGAGAGATATTTAGTTATAGAGAACTCAATGGTGCTCTAGGAGGAGATTCAGATGATAAGGGGGGGTTTACCTTGGTTGCTGATTGGCTAATGGTTACTTAAGCCAAAACATCGTTATGACATCATAAAGTGGACAAAATCTGATCAACTGATTTTCAGACAGGTTTTTATATAAATGGATCAGGACAAAAAGAGAGAATCTTTGTTCCTGAAATTTTCCGAATCTATTTACACAGAGGGGACACATGTTGATGTAGAAGAGGATTATGCACAATAGGTCCCATTTAAGTCATGTGGTGGTTACTACTGAGAACATCAAAGTGCTAACTTTGAAAGCAAAGAGATTAATTTAAAGATGGTGCCCGCTGAAGGGAAGACATGTCAGCTTTTGTCTTCATCAATTAACAGAATAAACGTAAAAAGGGAGAACACCAAGGGGAGAAATGGAGTCCTTGTCAAAACTCAAATCAAAGTTTGACATATTTTGTATTTACTTTGAGACGTGTCATGTCAGTGAGGAAATAAACATGAATAAAATGAGTAAAAGAAGCAACTTGTTTTCAGTCTGAAGAAACATCTGTTCTTGTGAAACTGATTTAATCAGAAAGGTTGTTTATTATTTGACAGCTTTGTAACATCTGTTCTTTTCACATTAAATGTGATTGTTGCTGCTTTAATAATCTGAGTGATATCATTACTCTTAATAATGAACTCTATTGTAACACACATGTTTTTATATATTCATGTCGTGCACACATTACTTTATCTTCTCCATTACATATTTTACCTTACTATATATTATTTTGTATTAAACATCTTAGCTGAATACTCAATTCTGATTGGTCAAATTGGACGTTTAAGAGGTTGTTAATACTCGATAACACACCGCTGCCAAGAAATCTATATTTTAGATTGAGATTAAATCCTTAAGAGTTAATAAACTTGTGCATTTGATAATCCACGCTGAACAGCAATGGGTCGTCCTCTCCGTTTAGGCTTCTCCTGGGAAAATTGTTTAAAATGTACTCTGTATTTAAATGCTTAGAAATCTCTTAAAACATTTATTTTATTCCCTGACGAAGAGGTCTGTTAGGGAGTTCATTTAAACCCAGTAACTCTGTTTGTTTTATATGATTATAGAAGTTTAAAATGTAAAAATGGCATATAATACAACTTTGATTTAAACGTTTGAAAACAATATTGTCTGGACTGGAATAAAATGCATTTTATTTTGGATCTGATAAATGATTCGCTTAAACATTTTATTTATTTATTTTCCCATCATGCACAAATCACAAATGAACAATTTATAACGACAAAGTTTCAATAAAACAGAGAAGGTTAAACTATAACCTGACATAAAGATCTGAATCTGGGTGAGATCATTTAAAATGTAAAGAATATATATCTCTTCTTTCCTCTAAAGGAAGCAGTTCAGCATATTTGATGTACATGATGTTACTTGGGTAAAAGTGTCAGCTAAATGCACGTGTTTCAATTTAATAAAGGTTGACCGTATGATCAAAAAGCAGATTATCTCAATCAATAACAACAAAAACATTAGTGAAACAAAAATAAACACATGTTTAGAATAAAGAGACAGCAGAGGTCAGTGTATTTCCCTTTTAAGACAGGCATGTCCAAAGTCCAGCCCTCTGAACTGTAAAGACTCTTTTATTCACACACTGATCTCACATCTCTTGTTTTTCCTCATGAAATATATCTGACCAAAATGGAAATGTATTTGTGATTTATTTCGTATTGAATTCGGTGATGG